ACACTCAAATGTGTCTCCCCAAAACCAAACCCAATGATGAATACCTTTCATGTCATTTGATTATCGAACAAAGAAAAAGTGTGAAAAGTCTAGTAATGATGATGTTTTTATTAAAATATCTTTTCTTTCTGTTTTTGAAAATATTTCTTTTCTTACCCTATTTATGAAAAAAAACGTGCATTCCAGTTTGGTTTGGTCCATGATATGGGTCCAATAATAGTGAAGTTGGATTGGGCGTGAAAAGACCTTTCCAACGATATATTATAAGCCCAATTCCGATGAATAATGAGGAAGTTATGGCCAAAATACTAAACTGGGCCCGGTTTGGTTCTTACATACGGCCCAATCATCTAGAGGAGGGCCTATTATTAATTATCATTCCTAAAGATATTATGATTGATAATAGTCTTCTAGAATACTCTAGAAGATTCTTTTGAATCCTAATGGAGTTAGGATAGATAATTATGTTTCAAAGAGTTAGAAATTGAACAAAACTATTCCTTTTAAGAATCCTTGTTTTGTACGAGATGAAATATGTTCGGATATTATTTTCGTGCCTCATAATCTTTATCCAAATTTTATATGGTTGGATAGATCTTGAAATTATCTTTCCAATCATATATTATAATATTAATTCCGAGCTATAACGAAAAAGATATGAATGGAATATGAAACTCTACCCAAAACTGACACCCTTCCACTATTTCGGCCATATCTTTTTATCTAAAAAGGATTTTAATCTGATTCTAATTGAATTGGAAATTAAACTTCAAGATCTTTCCAAAGACATATTATATGCCTTATTTGAACTTCTAGATCAAAAGGTATGATAAAAACAAAATCCACAAAAACTGTTTGCAACGCCACACTACAGGTTGTCGCCTGGCGCCAGGCCTAGTGCTGCGAAGACACTTCTGTCGCTTGGCGAAAGGCTCTGTCGTTTGGAGACTGAGGTGTGTGTGGCGACAGCGTCGTGTTTTATTCTTTTCAAAACTCTGATTCTTTTTTATCATAGTCCGGCTAATTTTCGTTATAAATAGCCCCCTTAAACCTCCGTTTTCAATCATAAACTCTCATCAAGAATTTCTTGATTCTTTTTCTCTCTCTCTAGCCTAGCCTTTTACAAATAAAATTCCTCATACACTAGATCTAGACACACCTAGCCAAGTTCGAAGTTGTCTTTGCCCTAGACGTAAAAGGTTTTATAATTCAGAGGGTTTGGTCTCAAATCTCTCTTTCAATTATTTAATTTAATTCTTTAATTTTATTATTTTCCTTTAAGTTACTAACGTGTTTATTTTGTTATTAGAAAGATGTACGAGGCATCCAAGTAAGTGTTTTAATTGTTTTATTGATATTATGATATAGAAATCATGTTTAGATTGTTATTTTGATTTCTAGTATCATGTTAGGATGCTTTCCTTAGTATGATGTTTAGGGTAAAGAATATAATGTCAATTATGATTTCTATGATGCTTCCTATTTTCTTTCCTAATATCATGTTAGGGCTAAAGCTTTGATTTTTATTGTTTAGTGGCATGCTAGGGTTTGTTATTAATCTTATTAGTATCATGCCTAGGATCTTGCTATTATTATTATGCTTTAACTTAATTATGATTATTTTGATGATGATTAATGTTATTATTATTATGATTATTTTTATTGATTTATTATGTTGCTTGATTATATTTATTATTATTGCTTGATCGCACCTTTTATGCATGTTTAAAGGGAATTTGTACTTGTAATCACGCTTAATAAGATAATTAATAATCTTGTTAGGGTTAATATGATTATAATTCAAGTGATCACCAATAATAGTTTTGTTTTTGCATTAATGTTCATCAAACATAGATAAACAGGTTAAGGAATAATCTAATGATTGCATGTTAGTCAAAAAGCGCACATGAATACGAGAAGAATAAAGTAGAGGCCTATTATTAGGGCAGGTTCAATCTCTTTTAGGTTGGATTTGTACCTTCATCCCCAAACTTCCAGTCTTGGTTCCAGACCTATTGGAGTTAACAATTTTTAGGATTGTTAAGGGGTGTAACCTTCACCTTGTGAACGGTTTACAAGTTCCTAAAACTTGTTGGCGATTCTTTTGCTCTAGCTTCCTTCCCTTTGGACGCCACCATACTTAAGTGTATGATCACAGTGGGGTTCAAGCTTGGGGTAATGCTTGAAATATTCCCTACACATATACAAATATTAATTTTTAAACTTGTGAATGATAGATACGTATTGCATAGAAAGGTAATATTTTGAATATATAAAGTACTTTAAAAGTTGATCATTGTATAATATTGATAACTACTTGTATAATATAAATTATTTCATATTTGTAAAATAAAAATTTATATACCAAATTAAATGTTTAAAATATAAATATGGTATATAATAACTCATTCTAACCATTTTTTTTTCTTATTATTCAATGATTCAACGCTACCCCTAGTTAGAAATCCTGAATTCTCCACTGGTTGGATGTAACTTTCTCTAGTAACTTTTCAGGATTATTATCAACCTTGGTAACAACAACTAATGTCCGTTCTCCTTATTTATCCACCTCACACGACACCCGAATGGACTCACATGTGAACAAATCAACATCAGCAGAGATCATATTCAAAATGATGCTCTCGGCTGGTGTGATGTACTTGAATATAATTTTTTGAATTTGCTCGCATATATCTTCTAGTTTTCCATCAACGGGTGTCCTAGTAGGATAGTTGATAGATATTATATTTATGATAATATTTGTCACAGATTAGGATAGATTTTATGTATATTTTGTATCCTTATTGTACTAGGTTTCCTAATGTGTTTAGGCCTAGCATTGTAAATTCTATAAATATTGATTTATGGTACACACTCCAATCTTAGGAGTTTTCCCAAAATCTAACATGGTATTCAGTGGCGGACTTGGGCTTAGACCTGGTGGGTCAAGTGACTCACCAGGCCCAAAAAAAAATTTTAAGTTAATTTTTAAAAAAAAAAAAAAAAAAAAAAAAATCAGTTTTCCCAAATTCACGAATTCAGTATTTCAGTTCATGGCCTTCAATCCTTCATGCCCTAGCCAATTCGCCTCTTCCCTAATTCCCTTCAAGGCTTCAATCCTTCGCCATCATCAATCACCTATTCACCTCCATAATCGCCTCCTCCAGTCCTCCTCTTCGCAGTTCGCAACTCGCAACTTCGCAAGTAAGCATCTTCCTCACTCCTCAGTTAGTCAGTTCCTCTTCGCAGACTCGCAGTTCGTGCCTTCGACCCTTCGTCTTCCTCTTCGCATAAATTCAGGTGAGGTTAGTCTTCCTCTTCGTCTTCCTCAGTTAGTCTTCATCTAAATTTGTTTAATTGTTGATAACTTGATAACTTGATTGTCTTGATAATTGCTTGATTGCTTCGCTAATCGCTAGACGCCCAGTGGCCCTAGACGCTGCCTAGACGCCTACTGAGTACTGATTATTGTTAATTGTTAATTTTGTTATATATTGTTGTGATTTTGTGAATTGTTCAATGAAATTCTGAATGGTGAATTTGTGAAATGTTTGACACTTTAGTTCCTCTTCGTCTTCCTCAGTTCCTCTTCGCATAAATTAATTAATTAACTTAGTCTTCATCTAAATTTGTTTAATTGTTGATAATTGATATTACTTGTTAGTTATGAATTAGTAATACTAAATTTGATTCTTTGAACCCTAAATCCCTAATTGTTCAATAATCAACTCAATTGTTCAATAATCAACTCAATTTCAATAATCCCTAATTGTTGTGATTTTGTGAATTGTTCAATGAAATTCTGAATGGTGAATTTGTGAAATGTTTGACAATTGACACTTTACATACTTGTTCAAGCTGTGATGCTGTGATGCTGGCTTGCTGCCCTGTGAGCTTGTGATTTCAAGCTGTGAAATGGTGAATTTGTTAATTGTTCAAGCTGTGATACTGCCTGCTGGCCTGCTGCTCGCCTAGTCGGCAGTCGCCTGCTGCCCTGCTCCACTGCTCGAGAGTCGAGAGCGTGCTCTGCGCTCACCGCTCTTCGCTTCGTCGCTTCTTCTAAAGTCTAATCTCCTATTCTCATTTTGCTAGTAAGTTGATTTCTAATTTTTAGTTTAAAATTCTAATCTTCAATTTAATCAAGTCTAATTAGTTAATTCTATTAAACTTTGGTTGATTTGTTAGTTGTTCACTTCAAGTCTTCAATCACTTGTTTGTTTGGTAAACTTTGAACCTTTTGTTAATGAGTAATGACCTTAATGTAATAATGTTGTTGGGTTTTAGATGAAATTTGAACCTTTTTGACCATGTGAATATGTGATTATGTGAATTGTGGTTTGTTTGGTAAAATGATCTTTGTAAATAATTTTTCTGGGGAATTTTGCTTGCTTTAGTTGATTATTTATTCAAATTTCAGAATGAAGAGAAAACGCACTCCAAATGAACTGCAAAACATTACTAGCTTCTTTGCTAAAAAGAATCCTACTTCAACTTCTCTTCCACATCCCACACAAAATGAACAAACTATATCTCCACCTCAACAGAGTGAACAAACTATATGTCCACCTCAAGAAAGTGAACAACATTCATCTCCATCTAATTATTCCACTCAAAATTCCCCTCAAAATGAACAAGGCCAATGTTCTCCTAATGCCCCAATCTTTGGTGAAAGATTAAGTGAACATGAATTTGCTAATCTTCCACAAGATCCAGGAAAGAGGAGAAAGATGAGTCAATTTCATAAAGATGATAGTGATTTAGTGAGAAGAATTTACATTCAAAGAAAGCCTTGTCAGCCCAAAGACTTTATATTTCCTCAAACTTCTATTTTTGGCAAAAACCGTCGCTTTTGTGCTAAGTGGTTTGATACTTGGACTTGGCTTGAGTATAGTGTGGAAAAGGATGCTGCCTATTGTTTCCCTTGTTATCTATTCAAGGATGAAAATGCATTTGGAGGTGATGCTTGCAAAATTTGAATTTCCTAATGAATTTCTATCCTAATGAATTTCCAAGTTCAGAATTCTATCCTTGCAAAATTGATTAAGCTTGCAAAATTCTATCCTAATGAATTTCCAAGTTCAGAATTGATAGTCTTTGGTCATACACTTGAGAGTTACATTTGTTCTGTTAGAGGAGATAACAGGTTTTGGAATTTGAAGGGTCTTAGTGAGCTTTCAATCAAATTGGTTGAAACGGGATTGTCTGAAACTCATGATAGGGTCTATTTACTTTTGAAGTTGGTGTTGCTTCTTCCTGTCGCAACGGCAAGTGTGGAAAGGGTATTTTCTGGCATGAAGCAAGTGAAAGACAAACTACGAAATAGCATGGGAGATCAAATGTTGAATGATTGTTTAATTACTTATTTGGAGAATGATTTGTTTTTGAATGTTAGCATGGAAGATATCATGAATCGATATCAAAACATGAAAACTCGTCGAGAACTATTGTAATTTGTAATAAGTTTGCATTACTATTTAGTTGTCGTTTGTAGTATTATATGAACATTTGGTTGTATTTTGTACTGTTTTGAATATTTGGATGTATTTTTTAGTACTATTATTTGGTTGTTCGGTAAATTTTTTTTTTTAGATACTTGATTATCGATTGTGACTCACCAGTCGGAAATTCCTGGGTCCGCCACTGATGGTATTACATCTTAGGTTTTAGATCTCAATTTTTTTTTTCCAATTTATTGGTTTTTTTGGTTTATTGGGACCTTGCCTTCATCACGTTTTTCCGCAATTTTCCTGTTTCTTTTTTTGTTCTCTGTTTCACAAGATTTCGGTTACAAGTTAATTCCCTTTTCTTGTTCCCTGCTACATTGACTTAGCTATGGCAATGGATTATGATTCGTCCTCTCCACCTCCTCCAACCAATGAGTTTCATCCCGCACTCACCGTCACAAATATCAAGAATGCAATCCCATTGATTCTAGATTATGAAAAAGTCCAATATGCAAATTGGGTGGAGTTGTTTGAAAATAATATGGTGGCATATAATGTATTAGATCATATTGATCCCAAGACACCTCGTCTTTTTTATATTTCCGACGCCTTGTGGAACCGGTTGGATGTCATTGTAAAACAATGGATATATGGCACCATCTCTTCAGACCTTCTTTAAAAAATCTTGAAGAGGAAGTTTACTGCGCAGAAGACCTGGGATCGTCTCGCAGACATCTTCCAAGACAACAAAAGCACAAGGGCGGTGTTTCTTGAAACCCAATTGAATGCAATCCACCCGGATTCATTCTCGAATGTCATCGTCTACTGCCAGCAACTAGAAAGCATAGCCGATCAGCTTGCGAATGTCGATCAACCAATTTCTGACCAAAAATTGGTGCTTTATATGGTTGTCGGCCTCAATAAAATCGACTATGATACGGTTGCAACGATGACTGCGCAGTCCGACCCCTTGCCCCCTTTTAACAACGCACGTTCCCGTCTTTTTTTAGAGGAAACTTGTCGGAACAATGACACTTCCACTCTGCCATCTTCATTTGTCGCTCAACAGCAGCAATCCAATGCTGCCGATTTGACGCAAAAACAGCAACCGCCTACCGGCGGTGGGCGCGGCGGCGGTGCAGGGCGTGGCAAGGGCGGGGGGAAAGGTAGCCGTGGTAGAGGTCGTGGGCAACGCCGTGGTGGCCAAAGCAGTGGCACTTAACAACAACAACAACAACAACAACAACAGGCCACGACTCAACCCCAACAATCTTCTAGGACAATTAATCAGCCTTGGGCCCAAGGACAACAGCTTACTTGGCCTCAATGGGCTATTCCTCCAGCCCCATTTCCTACCATGGGCCAGTACCAGCAGCGGCCCTACTCTCAAGTACCACAACATCAAGCATATTACATTGGGGCACCGATGTATGGTCCACCTATGACGCCAACGGAGTTTGCCAGTGCTTACACATCACTGGGGCTATCTACACCGGATAATGGATGGTACATGGATTCGGGAGCTACCACCCACATGACTCACTATTCCGGTAATCTTCTTCCCCTATTTAAATTAAGCACAAATAATCATGTTTTAGTTGGTAACGGTCATCGCATTCCAATTACTGGTTATGGTTATACTAATCTCCCAAACAAACTTGCACTTAGAGATGTTCTCCTCGCCCCTCAAATTATTAAAAATCTAATTTCAGTCTGTAAATTTACCTCTAATTATTCGATTTCTATTGAACTTGACCCTAATGGTTTTTCTATGAAGGACCTTCGAACAGGGAGGGTAGTCAGCAGATGCAATAGTTCGGGAAACCTCTACCCTATCACCACCAATGATCCAAGCACCTGTCTTGCCACTTCACTCACCACAATCGCTCCCTCAACTTGGCATGATCGTCTAGGACATCCGGGAGCACCTTCTTTAAGCTTTCTTAGGAGCAATAATTTCATTAATTACAATAAGGAGCATAACTCCAATTTTTAAATAGGGAAACATGTTAGACTTCCTTTTTATGATTCGAATAGTAAAACTTATTGTGCTTTTGATATTGTTCATGCCGATTTATGGACATATCCTATTCGTAGTAGTAATGGTCATAAATATTATTTGGTTCCTTTAGATGATTTTAGTCATTATGTTTGGGCAATTCCGTTAGCTTCTAAATCTCAAGCATTCCACTCTTTTCTCACTTTTAGACAATGTGTGCAAACTCAATTTAAAAGACCCGTTAAATGCTTTCAAAGTGACCATGGTCATGAATTCGACAATGATCCTTTCAAGAAATTTTTTCTAGATAATGGAATGGTTTTCATATTTTCATGCCCTCATACTTCTTCCCAAAACGGCAAAGCCGAACGTATGATTCGCACTATAAATAATGTCAAACGCACTTTACTATTCCATGCATCTCTTCCTCCGATCTTTTGGGCCCATGCTTTAGAGACCGCTACCTATCTTCTTAACATCTTGCCGACCAAGTCCTTAAAGAACTTAACTTTGGCTCAAGCTCTCTTTCGTAAAAACCCTTCATATGATCATCTTAGAGTTTTTGGTTGTCTTTGTTACCCAAATTTAGCCTCTACCGCTCCACACAAGCTTGCTCCAAAGTCTACTCCTTATGTCATCCTAGGCTATCCTTCCAATCACCGTGGCTATAAAATGTCTTGATCTCACCACAAACAAAATTATTCTTTCTAGACATGTTGTGTTTGATGAATCGACTTTCCCTTACAAAAATTTGGCAAGTTTCAAATTGTCAGATTATAATTTTTTAGGATTTGATGAACAATCTCCATTGCTCACTCACCCTTATTTAAGGAATCAGCTCACTCACTCAAACCCAGCCCCTCAAAATTGGCAGGCCCACAACCCAGGCCCACCTTCGCCAACCCACCCCTACACTACTCCATCTGGGCCAGCACCTAATGGGCTTCCACCGACCCAGTTAGTCCCCTCACCCTCTTCACGAACTGAGCCAGCTCTCACTCCTCCTTGCCAGACCACCCCGCAACACAATTACGGCACACCCACATCACCGCGGACCCCACTGCCACACAGCCCAGCCTCGCCAACATACTCCCCGCCACCACTGCGTGGCATCCCCCTTGTCCAACCTAGTCGGCCACCACTCCCTTCTCCCTGAGTCACCCGTAGTCAACAGGGTATTTTTAAGCCTAACTCAAAATATTGTAACCTCCCGTTCAACACTTGGGTCCTTCTCACATAAAATCCCCTCTTTCAAAATCATATAAACAAGCCTTAAATGACCAAAATTGGAATACCGATGAATAATGATGAGTATAGTGCTTTAATTAAAACAAGGACATGGGAATTGGTGCCTAGGCCTGCGGGGGTGAATATTGTTAATTGTATGTGGCTATTTAAGCATAAATACAAGTCTAACTGTGACCTTGAAAGGCACAAAGCTCGTCTTGTATGTGATGGCAGGTCGCAGGAAATTGGTGTGGATTGTGATGAGACGTTTAGTCCAGTAGTCAAACCGGCCATTATTCGCACTGTTCTCAGTTTAGCTATGGCTAAAAAGTGGTTGATACATAAATTAGATGTCAAAAATGATTTTTTACATGGTGATTTCAGGAAACTGTTTATATGCATCAACCTCCGGGTTTTGTTTATCGGAGGGCTCCCTTTCATGTTTGTCAGCTCCGCAAGGCTCTTTATGGTTTGAAGCAAGCTCCCAGAGCTTGGTACCAACGCTTTGCAAATTTCCTTATCAAATTGGGTTTTGTCATTACTAAAAGTGACAACTCTCTCTTTACTTTCCGGCAGGGAGATGATATGGCATATTTGCTCTTATATGTTGATGATATCATTTTAGCTACCTCATATGACAGGTTGCGCACAGGATCATCTCTCAGTTACAAACCGAGTTTCCCATGTCTGACTTGGGGCCTCTGAGTTATTTTTTGGGTATTGCAGTAACCCGCCGAAAACCTTCTTATTTGCTACTTTCGCAGGAAAATTATGCATAGGAGATTTTAGAGCGTGCAGGGATGGCCTCTTGTAAACCTGGCCTTCAGCCACTCTATTTGACACTAAGTCCAAAATTAGTGATGATGCAGGGCCACCTTTTCGAGATCCTACTTTGTATCGCAGTTTAGCAGGTACTCTTCAGTACCTCACTTTTACCAGGCCAGATATTTCCTATGTAGTACAACAGGTGTGTCTTTTTATGCATGATCCCCAAGAAGCTCATTATGAGGCATTAAAACGCATTCTGCGTTATGTTTAGGGTACCATTGATCACGATTTACATTTATATCCTATTGTTTCCATCGACTGATTACTTACACTGACGTTGACTAGGGAGGTTGTCCCGATACCCGGCGTTCCACTTCGGGCTAATGTTGTTTCCTTGGGGACAACCTTGTATCTTGGTCGTCTAAGCGTCAGTATACTTTATCTAAGTCGAGTGCAGAAGTAGAATATCGAGGCATCGCAAATGTTGTCTCTGAGGCGTGATGGCTTTGCAATCTTTTGCTTGAGTTACATTGTCCTCTATGACAAGCTACTATTGTTTATTGTGTAATGTCAGTGCTATCTACCTTTTTGGCAACCCGATACAACCCAACACACCAAACATGTGGAGATTGATACTCATTTTGTTCGAGAGAAGGTTGCTTTGGGCCAAGTTCGGGTTCTCCATGTTCCTACTAGATATCAGTTTCAGACATTTTTACTAAAGGCTTACCACGAGAATTATTTCTTGAACTTAGATCCAGCCTTAGCGTACGACCTCCTCCCGCTACGACTGCGGGGGTGTGATAGATATTATATTTATGATAATATTTTTCGCAGATTAGGATAGATTTTATGTATATTTTGTATCCTTATCGTACTAGGTTTCCTAACGTATTTAGTCCTAGCATTGTAAACTCTATAAATATTGATCAGTGGTACACACTCCAATTTGAGGAGTTTTCCCAAAATCTAACACTAGTAATACCAGGGAGATCAATCATTGTAAGGTCAGGCACACCGTTTTTCTTTATCACAAGAGTAAATGGGGTTTCGTATACTCCCTTCTCCGTCTTGGTAATGACTAAAGTAGTCTTTTCGATGTCTTTACCCACTTGGGTTTCATCGGTTGAGACAAAGTTATTGTCATAGTGAAGAGAAAGGACAGGTGTTGGAGTGGGATGATGCTGGAGTTGCATGATTAAAGGTACCCGGGTACACATTCCATCACCTCGAGGGAGTTCAATGCCAGCGGTTGACTCAAGCACGCTTGATTTACCAACGGATTGATCACCTAGAACGACGATGGTGGGAAGTTGGATGCCTCCCTTCATTATTTCAAGGTGGCAGAGCTTGTCTATGGCGTCGAGGAGTGGCCGTATTTGTGTGTATTAAATCAGAGGCAAATTATGAAAATAATTCTCTGTATTCTCATTAACTTCACGTTCACAATATACAAGAATATATAAGCTAGGATAACAACCTAAACTTACCACAATCTTCTACCATATCTTTTCATAAGATATAATACCTAAATATATCACAATAATATCAAAATAATATCCTAGAGTATCTAGAATATCTCCAATACCGCCCTCAAGTTGGAGCATACGGATCATACATGCCCAACTTGCGGAGTAAAAATTTTGAATATGACCTTTCCCAAGGCCTTAGTGAAAATGTCAGCCAACTGAAGTGTAGTAGGCACATAGGTCGGTGTTATGAGACCATCTGTAATTGCATTCCGTATAAAATGACAATCAGCTTCAATATGTTTCATTCGCTCATGAAACAGTGGATTCTTCGCAATGTATAATGCCGACTAATTGGCACAATAGAGGTGCATGCCACTCTCATGTCGCACACCTAAATCTCTCAAAATCCGCTTTAGCCACTTCAACTCACGAGTGCATGCGGACATAGACCTATACTCTGCTTCGGCAGAGCTCATAGCTACCGTGGTTTGTTTCTTGGTTTTCCATGACACGGGAGATAAACCAAGAAACACAAACCAACCTGTCAACGAACGCCGAGACAATGGAAAACTTGCCAAATCTGAATCACACCATCCTTCCAACTATAGAGCACTATCAGACCGTAGTAGAATACCCTGACCGAGACTTTTCTTCAAATATCTCACAACTCGCAGGGCAGCATCCTAGTGCTCTACCCTCAGGCTCTTCATAAATTGAGATAGAATATGCACAGAATAAGCCAAGTCTGGCCTAGTGACAGCCAAATAAATCAAACGCTCTATAAGACGTCTATACCGCTCTACATCATCAAATAAGTCCCCATCTGCCAGAGCTAGCCTGTTGTTTTGCTTCATGGGAAAGTCTGCAGGTTTTGCATCAAGCAACCTTGTTTCTGTAATGATGTCCAATGCATACTTTCTCTAACACATGAAAATTCCCTGTTTGTTTCGGGCTATCTCTAACCCCAGAAAATATTTCAGAGCTCCCAAGTCCTTCATTTTGAAGCAATTCCCTAAATATGTTTTAAATTGCAACAATGCAGACTGATCATTGCCTGCAACAATTAAATCATCAACAAACACAAGCACATTCAGCTGCATTTTTCCTCTTGTCGGAGTAAAAAGGTAATAATCATAATATGAATGTTTAAAGCCATAATTTTTCAAAGTCATTGTTAATTTTGCAAACCAACAACGAGGAGCCTGCTTCAAGCCATACAATGACTTCTTCATCCTGCACACTTTACCAAAATGATTTTTGTCAAAGCTATGGGGAATTTTCATGTATACCTCTTTCTCCAAATCACCATGTAAGAAGGCATTATGAATATCCATTTGATGAACTTCCCAGTTCTTCACTTCTGCAACTGCTAGAAAAGTTCTAACCGTCACCATCTTTGCCACTGGAGCAAATGTCTCATTGTAGTCTAGTCCTTCAACCTGATGATGGCCAAATATGACTAGTCTAGCCTTCAATCTATGAAGATTCCCGTGCTCATCATACTTCTCCTTGTACACCCATTTACTCCCAAGCGCCTTCTTACCAAGGGGTAAGTCCTCTAGCACCCATGTGCCTTGATCTTCTAGAGCTTTAATCTCATCGGCCAATACTTTTCTCCAACCTTCATGTCGCATGGCTTCCTTGAAATTTTTCGCCTCATTACTCCCTGTAATTGCTACAATATATTTTCTTTGTTTCACAGAAAAATGGTGAGAATCAACAAAATGTGTTATGGGATAAACAGTACCTAAGGAGGCTGTGACGGATTAACTTTGTTGCGTTAATGGACTATTATTTCGAATGGTGTAAGTCACATAATCTTTGAGTTTGATCGAGGGGATCTTCGGACGTTTCCTTTTTCCCATGTCACAAACATTTTCTCCCTGCTCAAAAACTTCAACCACACTGCCCGAGCTTTGAATTTGTTGTTGCTCATGGGTCGGGTCTGTTGTACCACAAGCAGCTGCAGGAGGCTGCTGGTCAGTGTGATGCTTCCCCACACTAGCATTGTTAGCAGCGCCTGCCGCAACCTGATCGTGGGAACCTAGGAGATGTCGCGGGCTTCTTGCGGTGTCTTCTGCCCTGGCAGTCCCTGCCGCGGCCTGGTCGTGGCAGGCTGGGGTATGCCGTGGGCTCCCCGCGGAGCTTCTGCTCAAGGCTCTGCTTCTATCCCCTCACCATAATTCTTACACCCCTCAGCTCCCTCCTCATCACAACATCCCAAATCATCATCACTTACAAACATCTCTTCATGTGGCACATAATTTGAACCCTCAATTCCATTGGCAGGAGAAATGTAAGGAAATTCATGTTCTACAAATTGCACGTCATGAGAAAAAAATCTCTTTGGTGTCCAAGTCAAACAACTTCCACCCCTTTTTGCCAAATGGATACCCCAAGAAGACACATTTGCGACTTTTACTAGCAAATTTATCACCTTTTCTACGTTGGTTATGAGCATAACACAACCACCCAAAGACCTTAATGTAATCATAGGAGGGGATTTTTCCAAACAAAATCTCATACGGAGTCTTAAAATCAAGCAATCTAGAAGGAGTACGGTTTATCAAATGACAAGCCGCTTGCACACACTCCCCCCAAAACCGAATGGGTAAATTTGCTTGAAATCTATAGGTTTATCAAAGAACATTATTGATCTTCAAACCCCCTTGCAAAGTCACGGAGCCGATTTTAGATGCATTAGCACTTTTCCTGTCTGGTAAACCTACCAGACAATGTTATAGATTACAAACATTATTCAAAAGAGATAGGTCACAAGTCACATGATTAGATGCCCCCTGGTGTCAACAATCCAACCGAATTGGTCCTTACCATGAAGTTTAGGTTTCAAAGTGGAAAAGGGATCTAAAAGTTGTTGAAGTTGAGTTGGAGTGACCCCTACAAGTGCAGCTCCATCGGTTGTCGTTGGACTTCTTGTGTGCGTACTCTGCGAGGTAGATTGTGTGGCTGCTTTGTTAGCCCGAACAAGAGCTATAGGTGCGCTTCCTCGGCCACCCCCACGTGCTGCACCACAATCGCCTTCGGAGTCACCACAACCTCATCCACGGCCTCGGTTAACCCACCATGAAGGATAAACATGAATTTGAAAACATCCTGCCTCGTCATGCCCAACCCGGTTGCAATGATTGCAAAATTTATCGGAGTTGTCATTCGATCTCTGCGGTTTGGAGGTGGCTTCATGTTGAAGCTTGAAAGCCATTGGATTTTCACGAGCCGTACTCGACACATTCGAGTCACCTCCACGAAGCCGTTCTGCTTGAATCAATTGCTGGTACGCTTTGTCCACCGTAGGTAAGGGGTCTTGGGCCAAAAGCTGACCCCTAAGGAAGGCATACGCAATATCAAGACCTATCAAGAAGTGATGAATAAAATCTTCTTGACGCAAATGTTCAACCTGCGTCACTATGTTACATGTACACCCACCGCAAGAGCAAGCAGGGATGGTAATGTATGTATTTAATTCATCAAAAATTTTGAAAATTTTCCCAAAATGCACGGCCACACTCTTGGATGCAGTCTTCTTACACTCCCCCAAAGACAATTTTAATTGACATATGCGAGTACCACTAACAACGCAGAAACGATTTTTAAGATTCGTCCACAATAGTTGAGCATCATCGTACTCACCAATGGTAGCCCTCACTGATGAGTCCAAGGTGTTTTTAATCCAAGCCACCAACATCCCAATGAACAGCCGCCCCAATCATCCAATTTATCGGCATCTGTTGGTTTCTTGACGGAACCATCAATGAAGCCGTACTTGCGATTAGCCTTCAACGAGGTACAAACTGCCCTCGCCCACTCATCATAATTTTCACCCCGAAGTTTAATCGGAGTAATAATATTACTTGGACCGTCACTATATCCTAGGTGATAGGTCATGTCGACCTTAGTCTTTCCTCCATCGCCACCCGAGCCTACGCCACCAGTCATGTCTTCACGAACTCAAGGGTGCAAAAGAGAAATTAATGGAGCAAAATTAAGCAAACGAAAAATAATCGGATCTTTAGGCTCTTAATACCATGTTAAATCTGAGGCAAATTATGAAAATAATTCTTTGTATTCTTATTAACTTCACGTTCACAATATACAAGTATATATAAGCTAGGATAACAACCTAAACTTACCACAATCTTCTACCATATCTTTTTTTAAGATATACTACCTAAATATATCACAATAATATCGAAATAATATTCTAGAGTATCTAGAATATCTCCAATAGTGTGTTGTAGGAAGAGGTTAGGTGGGTTAATAGCTTGATCAAAGGGCTTATCAACATTATGGATCATTCTTGGGAGGTTATATAAAGGGAGGGTTGAGAGACAATAAAATCATGTCTCACAAGGGTAATATAGGTATTTCAGGCATTAGTTTAAAGTTGTCTTATTGAATTATCAAATAATATCACTGGAGTTTCAGTGGTACAAAATACACTATCAGTGGTACAAAATATAGTCTCAGTGGTACTTCAAAAAGCTCCACTGGAGTTTTAGTCGAACAAAATATAAACTTAGTGGTAGTGGTCCCTAAAATTTTTTGTCCATTTTTACACGTGATATGTGTTTGAAAAGTTTTAGTAAGGCCTATACCATCTTTTTCGCTCTTCCTATCTCTCTCCTCCTTTCTCTCTCTTCCTTACACTTTTATATTGATGTATACTTCCTCCATTCTCGGTGCTTTGGTTTCTACAATTTTTTTTATGCTATTTTTAGGAGAATCAACAACAATAAATATTGGTGGGTTAAGAACTTAAGTAAGAATAACAGGAAAATGAATGAAAGATTAGGGTAGAGTAAAAATGATTAAATAGAGGAAGACGGGTGTTATGTATTTAT